GTAGATATTCAACGGAGGTTGTTCTCGATGATGTACTTGTCGCTTGAAGGCGAACATGACGCCAGTTTGTAACGCAGCTTTAGACTTTATCAGTACCAGTTCCAAAACAGGCTTGTAGCACTAGTGTCTGCACCGCATCCACCAAGTGCATTGCACTACATGGAGAACGCCTGTTGGATCCCTTCCTAGGTCCTGCGAGGTATTAATGGTCATCAATACTTATATATGCAGCTTGCCCACAAACGGCTGCCTAATTTCACCACTTTAAATTCTCCATTACTGGTACAAAACGAGATTGAAGATTTACAATGAATATTGTTCGAGTGGCCTCGTTACTAGCCCCAGCTTTAAGCCATCCTGGCCCAAATACCTACTGTTTTACCTTCGAAGCTCTTGGGAGCGATTTTCTTAGCATTCTGTAGTGCTCAATGTTGAATTCTGAAGAGTGTAATTTTGACTAACTCATTTTCAATTGATTCTGATCCAATACTACCTCTATTTTTGAGTTTTTTTGTTCAGTACTGGAAAGATTATGTAACTATGTAATATGTAGCACAGGGCAACACGCACATTTATCAAGAAGAGAGTAGGGAACACTGCAGGAAATCCTTTGGGTTTTTCCCGTCAAGGCCGGCAATAGATCACGTCATTCAAGAACACAAAGAGCGCGTAACTATGTTCTTTGAGTGCTATAGTAGAGCATCCGGCCTGGAACACCCTCATTTGCACGTCTAGTTCTGATTTTCACGTACTTCAGACCAGCGCCATTGCAATGACTTCACTTGTCCCGTGGAAATACCATGGGGATCGAACTGCGGAAATTTAAGGTACAGGGCACTAACATTCCGACCGAGCTCCAATGAACAACATACCTCATATCATATTCCACATTTTCACCTTATTTGCATTCGTGCCGGAAATAAGAACAGTTGTGTCCCTAACCCATTGTAGACAAAGCACTGGCGAGGTGCAGGGCATTGGAAGAGGCCAATAACAACATAGCTCGTATTCCACAAGTTCTGACTTGCAGGGTGCAGGGTACACACATCACACGTGATTCTTTTTTCTAACCTCCCACCCCCAGACAAGTCTGGTACCAATTTACCGGCACTCCGCTGGAAGGCATTGATTGGCGAGGGAGCCGATCAGGGACCCCAATGCTATGCCTGTTGTAGACGGGTCACTTGCAGTTACACCGCTTCCTCCATGAAGCACCTGGCCCGGTGAGGCAACACAACACAAGTAAAGAAGGCAGAGGACAATGATATTGGCTCGATACAATCCTCCACAGTCACCGCCAAGGAAAGGGGTTGTCAAGATCTCGGAGCATTTACGCCAAAAAACAACGCAATATGTGTACAGGGGAGATGCAAAATTCCAGTGGACTTTTTCGTTTGCTCTTCTCGTCTCTAACTACCAGCATGTACATTGAAGAAACGCTCTGAGTTCAGATGACGCTCAGACACGTTCTGTGGGCAAAGTAGTCTTGTCCACATGCATAGAGGATGTACAACTTCCACAACTTAACATAGGGGAGAAAATTGAGACCCGCGCAGACAAAGCTAAGGTCTCGCTCACTGCCTGGGTATGTGACAAGAGAATCGTAATTCGCCGCGCCCGTGCGACGTCATGTCCGCAAATGACGATGGTTCTAGGATGTAGAAAGCGACAACAGGCAATGTAGAATGAGAATTGTCATAAATGTCCACAGTTTCGCGGAGCGGCCAAGTACGATTCTCTTGGCCGCCTCCCACTGCCCGAGACAACGACTAACTCCCATTTTCCTGGTGGTGCGGCTGTTCCACTACTAGCTCTCTCTCTCCACTTTGGGTGGTGGATGAGTGATAAGCAGAAGGACTGGCACCAGGTTAGAACTCGTCCTACTATGCCCTTTCTTCGCCTTGTGCACGTACAAGCGCGGTTGGTGGTCCCATAGGAGGGACTTCCAGCGGGTGCTTGTAAGTCGATAGCGAGGCAAAAGCAAAATAAACATGCCAGCTGCCCTAAACAGAACCCCATTTCGGTCCTATAGTTGGTGCATGTCCAGTGCATCTCATCTCCAACACTGCCCCCTCATCCACACAGCTGATTTTCCGATAGACTACGACACTACGACACTACGACAGTACCACAGTACAAGTGACGATTTTCATGCCTTTTCGTCCGGCAGCTTCGTCACAGAAAGGCAGGTCTCGAAGGAGGAGTCTGGAGGCGGAGTCACTGAAAAAAGGGTGGTGTCACTGAACCTATATTGCACTATATCGCCCCTCCCTTACTATTTTTTGCAACGAAACCGGCATAGGTTGTTCGTCGTGGACCACTTCCTCCGAAGTCATATTTCCTAGCTACTATACCCTCGTCATCCGGGCAGTTGATTAGGGCGGTCGTCAACGGGCCGCAGCGCGTGCCAGGAACTATTTGCTTTTTCCAGGCTAATTTAGTCATTTTTTCCACCTTGTGAAGATAAGGAGCTGCTAATCTGGGAAAAAGTAGCCAAAACAGTGAAAAGTTGGAAAAAATGACTAAATTAGCCTGGAAAAAGCAAATAGTTCCTGGCACGCGCTGCGGCCCGTTGACGACCGCCCTAATCAACTGCCCGGATGACGAGGGTACCTGATCGCTGACCGCACTTTCAATATGCGCACTCCAAATCACCTAAGCAAGGCTGGTGTGCATACGTTATCCGTCTCTAGAAGCGGCTGCTCCTTCTGTTTTCTTATTGTAACGCTTCTTACCATTTCTTTCTTCTACAAAGTGATAAGATAACACGTTTTCTCGAAATGAATTCCACGAGCGCTACGCTTTCCACGGCGCTTTCACGGATCTGCTCCTACGCATGGAAGGTATTCACCTCGCCTAGGTATGCAATGTGCTTTCAAGCTCACTGAGAGTGAAAAATAAACTGGATAAATTTCACTTACACTGCATCGGAAACCCATGACAAGAAAGAGACAACTAGCGTAAGCCCGAAAGTAGATGGAAGGGTCCCTATAGAAACAACGGCGATGCTCTGGAACTGATGCAGTGCTTATTAGAGGCAGGTCTCGATGTCAGTTGCAGGATCCACGTTTCGTAGTGAAAGAATGAAAATGACACCTATGTGTTGAACACGTGTTGCAGAAAGACACAAAAGCGGGTACTGATATGTTCAGGGGGACCCACTTTCGTGTGGGCTGGTTCCAGAACAAACCATGCGAGTCAGTTAGTCGGACGTACTGAACGGACCCAAAACGATTCCTGCAATTAGTAAATATCGACTAGAAAATGGCATAAATACGCAGGAGGCGATTAGGAATCCCAAAACTTTTAGAATGGAGGTAAATGAATAACATGCGCAATCACTACAGACACCGACCTCAACTGCACCCTTAAAGTCTGTCAATCCAGATCGGTGTCTGTGTCTGGTCGGTGTCTGTAGTGATTGCGCGTTTAAGGGCGCTTAATGATAAAGGTGACTTTCAGGGCTGAGTCATGAAAAATAAGTCATAGACCATAGCGGCCTTGTCCAAAATGCTGGATTGTTGGTATCCTCCTCTATTCTAAAGACACTCTAGGAACCCAAACACTGGAAGCTTTGGAAATTACATGGCTGCTTTATATGGACGCGGTTACTGTACTCAGTCTTGAGCTCGACGGCGATGACGAACGGCCTTGCCTTAGCTGGGAAGGAGTGTCCGTTCGTGCTTATACAGAAACAGCTTAGGAACGTTACACCATGGTCCTTTCATGCGGCTTTCCAACATGTGCAAAGCGAGCTAACAATAGGATGACTACTTCTACGGGTGAAGTGTTTTTATTTTGTGCGGAACCCGGAAATGGAAGCATAGTAATCCCAAATCTGTATTTTATCTGTGCAGTACCGAATGCCCATGCCTACACCTGCAATGCGTTACTATCCAACTTAGGAGGAAATGCTCAAGGGCTCATCCCTTGACTACCCGACGGCAGAACTCCCTCCATGCTATGACGGCCCGTTCTGCAATCTCAAAAAATGCCCCACTGTCCCACCCGCAAAAGGGACGAAGACTGGTCATTGTTTCTACGTATGTTCATAAAAACTGGTGTGAGGTTTCGCTTTGTTCTGTGCGGCTACCATTGTTGTCTTCCTTCATTGGGTAAGCACACCATGGTGAAGATTACTCGCAAGAAACAGAGCCTTATTCCGCGTTTCCACTTAGATCATTCTTCTTCTCCATAATGATAAATTACTCAGCAGACGCTTTGGGTAAGAGATTTCAGCGACTCCTTGCAGATGAAGAAATGCAGCAGAAGCGCATCTCCAAAAAACCAGGGGCTTCCACTTGCCTTAGCCGCCACTTTCTGTGTCTATGGACTAAATCTAGCTAATGAAAATATTATGAAGTCAACATAACGAAAGGCCTCTAGAAACCAGGATACAATGGAGCGGTCGCGTCAGTTAGGGCCTACAAATCCTTTTATCGTCTTGCAACAAAATTATTTGGAATCCACACTGGTCGCCCCTTGATCCCTACCTGGTCCCTACATAGGCCTCTGTCAAAAGTATGAAAGGATAAAGTCTTAGCCGTATCAATCCCTTTGTGGGATGCGGCACGCATATTGAATGCGATGTGGAGTTTACCCTCCGTAGAGGGTAGAAGGCTTGTAGCCTAGGCTGGGGACAATCCGGGATTTGAACCCAGAACCGCACGAGTGGTGAGCGCACCACTTGTCAATACACCACCTCCTGCCCAGAACCTCGATACCATACTGTAAATGAAAAAATCGGAAAGTGCTAGTGAAGCTAGTAATACCCAGCGGGAGCTGGCGATTGCCCCTTCAATTTGTAATTTATACCTATCGAGAATTTTTCCAATTGAGACCGATAACTTATCATGCGGAGTTTACTCATTGATTTCGCACTTGCATGTTGTAACGTTGTTATACTTGTTCATTGAACATTCTCGATCGACTTTCTGCGGTGAATATTTATTAATCGGCTCAAAATTACTAAATTATAATATCTTTCACATTTCTACGGACTACTCATCATTGCCTAGGAGTTCGGGAGAAGGAGCAACGGATGGTGGGCTGACTATTCTCTCAAATTCCTCCACAAAAGCCGAACTTCTTCGTGGACAAGGACAATAAGCAGCATCCGTACCAAGCAGGCCTTCCATCCCCGAGAAGCCGGGTGTTCCATGTAAGCCTGGCATGCCATCTGTACCTGGATGACCAGGTGGACCAGGTTTTCCAGGCATGCCCTCTTGACCATCCTCTCCGTTCCTGCCCGGAGCTCCTTCTGGTCCACGCAAACCTCTCTCTCCAGCTTTGCCTGGAGCTCCTTTGCCTTTGATGCCATTGCTTCCTGCATAACCGGGCACTCCAGGAGTACCTGGTTGACCAGTTGGTCCAGCGTTACCTCGCTCTCCAGGTGGACCATTTTCTCCATTCTTGCCTGGACGTCCAGGTGGGCCATACCAACCAACGGGTCCCGTTGATCCCATGGGGCCATCTAGACCTTGAGGACCTGGTGGACCCGCAGGGCACGGAATGCAGTCTATTGGCCTCCTGTATAGAATCATCACGTGGTGTGCGCCTGGGATTCCGGGCTCACCATTCTCCCCATCGAGACCGGGTTCACCCGGCTTTCCCATTGGTCCAGGACTGCCAATTGGACACTGTGACGGGTTTTCCTCACAGTTACAAATTACATTGTTCGCTCGTTTGCCTCGACGAAGAGTAGACGAATGCACTGTGTCGTGCGTTTGAGGAAAGTTCACCAACATCACTTTCCAAGCATCGTTGGCGATCTTCTGAAAAAGCACAATTCATTAGAAGTAATACCTCGACAAATAAAGGGGAAGTTACTCTCTATTCAGCTACCCCTCTTGGCTCCATAAGCTTTCAGCCTCCAGAGAAAGTTAGGGTGCAAATTCTCACCGGGGAGCAGATTTTCAAAATATTATATTAGTTTGATCTATTTCTACGTGCTCTATCTATTAATGGGCCCCAGCCCCGCCTACTTCTTGTAGACTCAGCACCAAGTCATGCTCAAAATAGCCGTCTGCTCCAAACACTTCAAATACTGCATACTATACTGACAAAAGAGCTTTATGGATAGGAAGGAGAAAATTGAGACCTGAAGCTATCGGAAGGGTAGCCTTGCAGGGCGATTCCTCGGTCCATGAGATCAGACCCATTCAATTCATCTAGGCCTATCTCATCTATCTATCTGATCCTGTCGGTAAAGTTGTACCTCTCTTTCCTATTGCTTTATGAAGAATGACAACCAATCTAAAATACAGCCGCTTTTGTAGGCCACTACTCCATCTAAAGGACAGGTTAGCGATTCCCTTCTCTTAGAACTGAGGAGAGTGGTAGTTCAAAAAATTGGCAACTTCCCAACTAATGCCATCGAACTTGATAAGCGTTTCCTTAGTCAAGAAAGCTTCAAGGGGAGGAGTGGATGATAATAGAGAGGCACATCAGTAGGAGGTGTGGGGTGGGCGCTATCTCTCAACCCAGTTCTCTGATTTTCTGCGAGTTCATCTTGAAAATTTGTAATCTCGCATCATCAAGGAGGAGTATCGCCAAAGCTCTCCCTGGCTGCTTTCCTTCGAACAGCTTCGTCGAGCTTCTGATGCGGATTCTATGGCAGTGATGA